GAATCGAGCATTTATCCCGACTTTCCTATACAAACTGTGCCACTGGGTACTCCAAGTGTGGACGAGGGGACACTTCTCTCTTTAGAAGCATTCCTGCTAATAATCGAGGATGGGAAGGTAAAATTAGAGCTTCGCCATTCTGCAGCCCCCAGTGGGCAGCGGGTGGAGGTGCCACACATCCACAAAGAACGTCCCCAGCCCGGAGACGGCAGGCGAGACGTGCCTCCTGATGGAAACACGCAGCCCCGGGAGCTTGTCTTCCTAAAAAAGCCAAAATTGGATCGGATCGAGCCTCAGAAATGAATCGTCAACTTACAAGAATCACGGAGGTCGGAGCGGTGGACTGTTTGGAAATCCCCACCCTGTGGGGTGCACAGCCAAGCACCACTGTCTGCAGCAAAGGAGAAACTTGAGAGAAGTGGAGAGCAGAGACTGGACAGGACTGAGACCCACCGGCCACCCTCACCTGGCTCCTGATTCAAGGGGATTGCAGAGTGCACAAAACCTGCGCGCAGCAGGCGGAAATGGCTGCAGTCCCGGGATGTGCACTATAGGGCGACCATGATCCGGTGGCTAGGTGAGGGCCAGGGGAGAGCTGTACTGACTCGAGTGCGGATAGGACACGTGGTGTTAGGGTCTGGCTGTGTGGTGCCCCCGGAAGCTCAGGTGTGAGATAATGCAAGGACATTTAGAGGTGATCAGATCATGAGCGGTGTAACCTGCAGTGAATTAATCCACTGAGATGGATTCACTGGTGGTGATTTTGGGTAGGTGGGGTGTGGCTGGAGGAAGTGGGTCCCTGGGGTGTGCCTTGGGGACTGGGTTTTGTTCCTGGTGGGCGGGGCTCACTCTGCTCCCTGTGGCAGGGTTCTGAGCAGCTGTCCTCTGCTGTGCCCTCCGCCATGATGTCCAGCCTCGCCTGGGGCCTGGAGTAGGCCACCATGGCCGGAACCTCCGAAGCCCTGATCCAAAATAAACTTTCCCTCCTCTGATTGTCCCTCTGTCAGGTCTTTTGGTCACAGCAATGAAAAAGCTGCCTGAAATGTACGCTGTCTTGGGTTCACCTCCAGAAGTCGCTGGGAGGTGGGGGGGGGGGTGGACACAGAACTGGGACAGGGTGGACTCTGGCTGAAGCCGGTGTGACCGGGAGCCACCTCGGGACGTCTGCTCGGCTCTTGAGTGTGTTTGAAACTTTCCGCAATAAGACATTACAGGGAAGACGTGAACCAGCCCAGGGCAGACCTGACCTGGCCCTAAGGGTGCAGGCCACACAGATGCGATGGGGATTCTTGGGAGGAAACCAGAGGCCTTGCGGTCACTCTTCCCGAGTTGTCCTCTCACATGCCCACTGTTGGAGTCTCCAGAACAACCCAAGTGGCCGTGCCATGGTCATCATAAATCACACCTCGGGCTCCCCGCCATCTGTCCCTTTTGGCTACCATACCAGAGCTTCGAAGCAAAGCTGGGATAATCAGGGAAGGCTACCCGGAGGAGGTGGCCCAAGCCAAGCCAAGGCTCTGAGGCAGACGAGCCCTCGGCTGCAGTGATGGGGCCTGGCTGGCAGGGAAGTCCTGGCACCGGGAGCCTCACTGGCTGGAGCCCCGAGGGCAGGTGAGGCTGGACTTTGCAGTGATGCCCGAGGTCCATGACAGAAAGTCCAGTGTCCGTCTGTGAGTTCCTGGGGTGTCACCATTACCTGAGCTGAGAGCCAGAGCCAAGTAGGAATGACGCATGGCAATTTCCTTGTCAGCCTACCCCATGTTGCTTAGAGGGAGGACTCTCCATTGTGGAAATGGGCTTCCCTTGGACCCAGGTCATTTGCAGTGACATTGCATGAATGTTTGAGAAAGGTGACCCTGCTCAAGGACCAGGGCGGATCCCGGTTTAGGGCGGTTCCAGGTTTAGGGTGATTCCTGCTGGGAATAGGGCGTATCCTGCTGCCTCAGGCACCCCCCTCCGCTCCTTGAGTTCCCGTGGAGTTCTCCTGGGATTCAGAGAGTACTCTGGGATGCAGAGCCCCGTGGAGGTGTGGATTTCCCCAGAAGGTGCGTGTAGAGGGCCAGGGAGAGTTCGGGAATAAAGAGTTGCTGTTGGAATCTACAAGGCTGTGAGTGGCTCGAGATTTTGTGCCCAGACAGACTGGGGCACTGAGCTGGACCAGAAGAGAAAGAAGATGGGGGGCAGGAGGGGAAGGGAGCCCCGCGGGCAGCTACTGACCCCCAGCAGTATTTCCCAGAGGGTGTTCCAAGGAACCCCAATCCTTTAAGGCCCTCCAGGGAAGAGTGGCACCACAGACGATCGACCGCTTGGGAAACACACCCTGGCTATCCTCAGAAGAGGCCCAGGAGGCCCTCGGCAGGTAAGGATTTGAATTGCTTTAACTTTACGTTTCATCCCAGGACACCGCTTTGTGTTTGGGGGAAACCCTTGGTAGGCCAGGGGACAGTCACAGGAAGTGTCCAGGCCTGGAGGCTGGGATCTAGTCCAGGCCTCGAGCAGCACCAGGCCCTGCCCACCTGCCAACTTCCACCGACCCCTCCTTAGCCCAGGCCACAGACCTCTGAGCCACCAGATCCCCCAGGTGACGCCCAACCCAGAGAGCCCCTGCCACACCCCACTCGCTTCCAGTGTCCAAGCTGGGCCCAGTTCCCAGCCTCTCCACTGGCTCCAGGAGGCTCAGGAGGGAGGCTGGGAAGCAGCCAGGTCCCTGTGGACCTGTGGGCACAAGCCCCAGGCCGGGCTTCAACCTGGATGACAGCGAGGAGAAACGCAGGGCCTCCCTCCCCACACAGCCAGGCCTCGGCGGAAGGCCAGTCACAGCAGCTGGGGGGCCGAGGGTGGGCAGGGACGGGAATGCTCTCCAGGGCCTGGTGTCCGTTCCCAGGGTCCACCTCGCAGGAAGGCCCCCACTTATCAATCCACCAAGGAGGCCCTCCGGATCCAGTGACCTCCCAACGCCCCACCTCACACGCCCCGAAGCCTGGACCCTGGGGACCACCCAGATCCCAACCACAACATCCAGCTGGGGACGCACCTGGTGGGGTGTGCCCCCTGGGTCAGTGGGTGGAGGGTGAAAGACTGGGGCTGCTGGTGCTGGGGTAGGAGACCCCCTGCAGGGAGGCGTCCCCTGCTCCCCTCTTCCCCACGTGTCCTCATTCAAGAGCTACGCGCTGAGCAGCTACTGTGTTCTAGAAAAGCTCCCGGATGACCAGCAGGCAGCACTTACAAAGGCCACGCCTTTCCAGGGAGGGCGGTCCTGGAGGAGGGTGGTCCTGGAGGAGGGCGGTCCTGGAGGGGAGGTGGTCCTGGAGGAGGGGGGTCCTGGAGGGGGCGCGGAAGACTGCGGTGAGTATAATCTGTGGATTCAGAGCAGAAGGCTGCGAGTGCTGCAAACATTTCAGTAACAAGGACAAGGAAAGTGGAGGGGTAAAGGGGGTCGAGTTTACGGGCAGAGGGACCCACAGTGTCCCCCTCGCAGCCCTGTTCTTCCCCGGCCCTCAGCACCCACTGACCTGCCATGGCTCCCCCGTCCCGTCTTAGCATCTCTTCCTCAGCAGATGGACGCCCACCCCGGGGCCGGGGGCTGAGTGCCTGTCCGTGGGTGGTCCTGAGTCGTAATAAGCGCTCAGTGAGCCCCGTGGGGAGAGACGGTCTCTGCCCACAGCCTCCCGCCCCCTTCTCCCGCCAGGAGGAGGCTGTGGGGCAGCTGAGGGGGAAGAGTAGCGGGCACCCGGCTCAGGAGCCCCGTCCCCCTGGTCCCTACTCAGCCTCCCTGCCCTGGAAACACAGCCGAGGCACCTCAGGGTGGGAGCCCAGGAGCCGGCCGTGGGGAGGGCCACAGTCCTGCTCAGCTCTAACTCAGGGTGCATCCAGAACCCCAAACAAGTACTTGATTGTGTTTGTGTGTTTACTTGTTCTGTGGCGCTGAGGGTGGAGCCCAGGGTGCCCACTGCAGGCAGCGCTCCACCGCTGAGCCACAGCCCCCGGAACCCGGTCACCCCAGCCACCCTCTAGGCCGGCCACTGTTCCCCTGAATCCACGCGGCAGCCTTCTGCTTGCCCTGCCCAGCCAGCGCCATGCTGAGAAACATGCCAGGGCTTGCCACCCCTCCACCGAAGGTCCACAGGAGGCTCCCACGTCTCTCTGCAGAAGAACCAGGGTCTGCTCTTCCTGCACAGGGGAATGTCCAGGCCAGAGGCCAGCCCCCTTCCCATCTCACCCTCCACCAGATCTTCCCAGTCTCGCTGCCTTTTCTTGATAGGCCTCAAAGAACCCTTGCAGTCCTGCCCCGGGGCCTTTGCACTCACCATTCTCTCAACCTGGACCTCCCCACCCTGGGTATCTGCGTGGTTGGCACCTTCTTGGGGCTCAGAGATCCTCCCTGAAGATCCCACTCCAGACGGCCACCTGGCCCGCTGCAGAGTTTCCTGCTCTACCTTCTACCCACTGACATCAGGCTGTATATTCATTCCATTGTTCATGACCGATGTCTGGGGAACGGCCGCTCCGCAAGGACAGCATTGCTGCTCTCCCCTGGACGGCTGCACTCTCAGCCCTAGGACAGCAGAGCCAGGCGCTCGGGAGGTGCTCAGTGGATCTTTGGTGAATGAATGAATGAGTGGGCGGGTGAGCCCGCCTGGTCCAGTCCCCTGGGGTCCTGCACTGTGGTTCTCCTCCTGCTGTATCCTGGAGCACAGCGGGTGAGCCAGGCTGGGGGACATTCCTGGACTGGCTGAGGGTCAGAGCCCCTGGGGGGGCAGTGGACACGACCCTCCTTCCACCTACTGCTCGAGTGACCTCCCGGCCTCCCTGGGACAGAAGCCTGGGCCTGGCTGAGGTGCCCCTTTCCCGCCTGGAGGCAGAATGTGGGAGTCCAAGAGCCACCTGTGTCTAGGGACCTGGAGCCTGCCCAGGAAGGACAAGCAGAGCCGGAATAAGTCATGATCCGGGTAGGCACCTTTTTTTCTCTTTCTGACTAACTGGAGACCAGGCGGCGCATCCTACATGTATGTAGCTCACTTTATTCTTAACTTGAACCTGGGAACGTCCTCCCATGCCACAGTCACCTTTTCTGTAATGCCACTTTTTGACAGTTGTCCTGTGTTCTAGAACCAAACAAGCCCACGGTGGTGCATCTAACAATCCCCGATCGCTGGACACATAGGTTGCTTCCAAGGTTTCCTTTCCGATTGTAGTGAGCATCCGGCATCCTATACCCTTGTGGTCGCCTCTGATGGTTTCCTTGGGGACAAGTGTCTCTAGATCGAAGCTGGGTTCCGGCCTAGGCTGGAGAGGGAGGGTGGCCTTGTTTCCCATTTTCTTCCTTTCCCGCTGGGCAGCACCGTGCAGCCTCGAGGTCCCAGCACATCCCCCCCATCTCCAGGGCCCACCCAGCAACACCGCCTCCGCCCTCCTGCCCCTGCCCCCAGACCTCATTGGGTGGGGCCTCGGGCACCCTGGAGCCTCCAGACCTTTCCATCCCGCCCAGCTGCCTCCCGCCCCTGGGACAGTCCAGGTCCCACTGGCACACAGGAAGAGGACACGCCAGGAAGGGAGGGAGGTGACTATTTCAAAAAGAAATCCAGCGGCCGCAGAGGTCTGTATTTACCCTTCTGACCCATTCATCTCTGTCTCCCTGGACCATGAATCCCCAAGGGCAGGCAGGAGCGTCCCCATGTCAGTGCCCTGCCTCGGCCAGGACGGGCCAGGTGGTGCCACGCCAGGGAGGAATGGAGATGAGAAGGCCCACACGGCACCCGCCTTCCCGGGAGCTGGGGAGAGCTCAGGAAGGACCCTGGGGCTGGGGACCAGAGGCCCCGAGGCCAGTTCTGTGGTCACCCGGCTGGGGTCTCCAAAGGCCTTTTGTCAAGAGTTTAAAAAGTCTAGGGAAG